ATTTAATGAAGTTATCTGCAATCTATTTGGGGTCATTTACTTGAGTATTACTTATCATAATGTTAACGTTTGTGTCCTTAGTTTTTTTCTTAGGATTTGTCAATTTCCAATCCGTTTTAGAAATATTATTAAAATTTTTCATTAAGTTACTATTGTACATCTTTTTGACTTTATTTAAAAGATTCCTACAGATTTTTTGTACTATATGAAGTAGGTAGTTGTTCGATTGTTCATCATTACGTTTTACATGTAATTCCTTGAGTCTCCGCCCTTTAGTTAGTAGTTTCACTTTTATTTATCTTTTTTGATTTCAGAGGAAACCACGTCATATTAATATTTAAATATCTCGAAAAAAGTATTAAATTTATTGTTGACACTATCTTTTTTTATATATATATATATATTTTTAATATTCTCCTCTTTCTGCGATAATTTTATTTCTGTAGCCTGACTCCATATTTTCTAATTATTTTTTATAATTTGAGATACATCATGATCTCCAATTCTCTTTGGGATCGTCGTAGCGTCAAAGGGTTCCTTTGCAAAATTAACACGAATATTATCAATGCAGTTGATTCTTCTAGCTGGAGAGTTGATTACTGATATGATACTGTGGGAAGATAAAAGTTCTAAAAGATTTAGTTGTTTTGGGGTGCAAGTGCCAGTTTGGATAAATAATACGCAAGACTGATAACATCAGTTGGTAGAATTAAATCATTTGAAAATTGCTGAAAAAGCTAAACAGGGATACATAACATTAATTCTTCCTTTTATATCATATATTGCGCAATAATAGTGAATTCGGAGTATGACTTGCAGGGCGTTGCACTTAATAAAATACAAGGAAATAAAAAACTGAATCCGACCCTGTAATTTTGAATCCCGAATACTTAGATATTTAGTTCAATTTACGCATAAGTTTGTAAAATGTGTATGAAACAAAGTTAATAACCATTGAAATTTTGAGTTTTCTGTCACACAAACTGCAAGAAATAAGATATTTGAATAAATAAACTTTATTCACTAAAGAACTAAAAGAAGATCAATTATATCAATGAAAAATATATTATGGTAATTTATTAGCACCAATCACTGACTTATCTTGTTCATAGTAAAATATTTCAATATTCAGCTTAAAAGGCGATGTTTTTGAAAAAAAGCAAGAAGGTGGAAAAATAGAGTGCGCTCCTGGATTATTCTAATCGTTGTCGAGTTTCACGTTATTACTAGGTAAGTTTAATATCGTGCCAGATTTCAACCAAATCAGTTTCATGGTGCTTGGGACATGTGACACTAAACATTTGGCGTGTTTAGGGAAATGGACTTAATACCTTTTTATTATCAGATATAAAAAGGCATCGGTCTATACTACCTACCAGTTCACTATGACTAGTTATTTACGGAGCACCCTGTATATGTATTGTATAGTTTACCTCCATCAGCCGTATCTTGTAAGCCATACGAAAAAATTGATAAATAAGTAAGGATTATGTAGAATAGGGTGTCGCAGCCATTGAGGGCAAACAAATTTTTGTTCGAACTGAGATACCCTTACCCTATAATTTTTTCCATTTGACTCTAACAACTCAAAAAATAAATATTATTGTGATTGATTTCAAAACCTAATTCTTATTCGACAACTTTATTTGTATCTTATATTTCTTAGATATTTTTCGTTAAAAGAAAATTATTTACCAAATTTTCTTATCAAAGTTTTCTTTTTACAGTCAGAATATACCTGCCTGTATACAACATAATGAAAATTGTTTTTGTTCCTCATCAGTAGTGATTAAGCAGTGGAAGTCTGGCATTTACTTAACTGCTCTTTCTGCCGTATCAATGTTTGCACCTTATTCTTAGCATGTTGAAAAGAATCATTATGTGGCCATGAAATTGGACACTCATTGAGAAAACGTCATCAATTTTGGGTTTACTGAACAAGGACTTGCTTTTGATTGAAACAAAGTCATCGATGAAAAGCGAAGAATAGCTACCATCTAAACATACTGGTTTTGTCCGTCCGACCACAGACAGTCAAGCATGAACAGATGTTCTGTGCTTTTTGGCAACTTATCAGTATCGTCTAGGCTTGGCCTCAGGTCAGGACAACGAACGAAAGCATAGCAGCTAACCTCTATCTGAGGTATAAGATCTATCGAAACAAGATAGTATAATAATAAGTAATCTATTGCCAGAATTGCAGTTTATGCTGACTTATTTTAACACTTATTATATTATATCGAAGCAGTAAAAGAAGACAACCGAAAATTTATTGGTCAGACCGTGGGCCAGAAAGTTCTCCTTTTGATGGGATGTAGCGATTACCGTGGGCTGTTGGACTTTTTTTGGCTAAATTAGCAAGAATTTTAATGTTGATAAAACTCTAGCAGCTTGTCAGTTTCTGAAATATTCAGGCATGATAGCTTTTCTCATTGGAATGTCAGGGCTTGCAGCTACTTAATCGATCTTTGATTCAAACACGCCTTTTAACACCAATTCGTAGAGTCGTAGCGGCAAACAAAAATAAGCATTTCTTTATTAAGTTTGTGTTCGATAAGCTTGCAAGCACTGTTATTTGAAGCAGTGGTACCATAACAGAGAATCTCAACTTTATCTTCAAGATTCCATTCAATAATAGCATCTCAAACTGCCTGAGCCTGCTCGCTGCCTGAAGAGTTATCCAATTTGGGTAGATAAGTTGTTCTTTATTTTCATATGTTATAACAATCGGTAGACGTGCGTGCATTTCAGGTGGCAACAATTTGCCATACCAATCGATTGTGGGCACACCTTTCGCTTTTCGGTACGAATTCTTTGAATGGAGGACTTGCAATATCAAACAGATTGTCCAACGTCGTAACAAACTCTTGTCTACGTTCATTTCTTGTGTTTTGCTTACATTTTTTTGCAAATCTCTATAAGACGGGGTTTTCACGATACGAGTGCACTCGGTCCGAGTGAACTCGGATGGGCACTCGGAGCGTGGAAACCGGTAATGCGAGCACACTCGGATGTTATCGTCCGATCAGAGTAAACTCGGACCGTGTCCTACTTTTACGAGCTGACTCGGATCATTGCGGTTATATCAAAATGGCGTCAAATGTAAATGTGCAACCGCTTCGGAAAAAAAGGTGGAGCGAGCGCGATACACTGAAGTTTGTTGAGCTGTATGAAGCAGAAGAGGTATTGTGGAACGTAAGACTTAGTTCTTACAAGAATAAAGACGCAAGAAATGCTGCTCTGCAGCGCATTATAAATAACTTAAATATAGAAGGCACCACCATCCAGGATATCAATACAAAAATAAATAACATACGTAGCACGTATTCACAAGAAAAGATGAAGATTAAAAAGTCACAAGGAACTGGATCGGGGGCTGACGATATATATACACCATCTGTCCCATGGTTCGAAATAGCCGACAGATTTCTATCTGAAATTATTAACCCGAGAAAAACCTTTCAAAATCTGGTAAGTACTACTTGTAACTTCATCGTAGAGAGAGAAATGTAGTTTTGATGCCATTTTATTTATTTTAATCCTGCACAAGTTTGTCCTTTTTGATCAAGTGGGTTTTAAATAGACTGACAAGGTCTATGCTTCTTTTTACAACGAGTAGTGGAACTGCTTAAAGAAAAGCTGGTTTTTGATCATATACCTACTATATTCGATGGTATGATTTCCTAGTATTTCTCATTTATGTCCAATCGATGAGTTAACCATAAGTACAATAAAACAACAAGATATACATTCATATTATTTTTGTATTATTTTACAACACAAGTATTACTGCTTGCCTAAAATATCCTGTCATTTTGCCATGAGAGAGCACCTTGTCCAATGAAATAATTTTTATAGTTGCTTCTTTTTTGTTCTGCTAACTGGGAATAATTATTACTGCCCTGATGCTGCATATCTGCAATATAAATAGACCTAAGCTCTTGTCTCCATGCACCAGATCTATCGTCCGTGTCCATAGTGCCGACAGGTGCGTATGATCGCGAAGCTGTTTTGATTAGCCAATTATGCATCGCGCAAGTTGCCTTTACTATTTTGTCTACTTTATCTGGACATACATATATCGGAGTACGATAAATACGGAATCTTGATACCATTATTCCGAAGGCATTTTCTACTATTCTTCTCGCTCGAGAAAGTCGGTAATTATAAATTTTTTCTTCGTCCGTCAAAGGCAGCCTACGAGAATAGGGTTTCATCAAATAGCGTGTTAACGGAAATGCTTCGTCTCCTAATATAACACCCCAAGAAGAAAAATTCAGCGTGCCATCTTCCAATTTCTTTTTCAGTATTGAGTTACTGAAAATTGAAGCGTCATTCATTCTGCCTTGGCTTCCCACATCTATATATGTGAAACAGTAGTTACTGTCTACAAGTGCTAAGAGAACAGTACTACAGTAACCTTTATAGTTATAAAAATCACTTCCACTGTGTTCTGGTTTTTGTATGTTTATGTGCTTTCCATCCAGTGCGCCGCAACATCCAGGAAAGTTCCAACGATGATTATACCCTCTTGATATAACATCCCATTCCTCGTATGTTTTCGGAACCTGTAAGCCATACAAACGAACCTAAAATTAGTTTTATTTTATTTCAGGCACAATTCGACGAGTCAAGTTTCCCTTCCCCAGATTCATTATCAGAAATCCCTTCACAAGAGGTGCCAGTCTTACCAGATATACCACATTCAGCGGATATACCTACCAGCCCTCCCTCAGATTTGTGTGCCCATCCATCGCCTAATACTCGTAGTAGCCATTTTACTGTACCCCCGCATCCAGCTAGGAAACGCGCAAAGAGAGCTTTGCGTCAACATATTGAAAAATCAATCGAGACACTCCAGTCAATTAAAAATCAAGCTCTGTGTAATAGAAGTAGAAGACGAGTTCTATTATTTTGGCAAAAATATTGCTAGCCAACTACGACAACTACCACTAACCGATGCTCTAGATGCTCAGACAGAAATTTTAAATTTATTAAGAATGAAAAGGCAGCATATTCTCCAGCAGACTAGCTCTTCTAGCTACTCACCACAATCTGAATGCTTTATCGAAGTACCAGACCATGTGGATATATTTGATGCTGGTCAAAATATTCCCATTCGAGTTTTAAAAACATATACTCCACCAAATACTGTCATTCAGGCAACAGGGTTTGAAAATGACGTAGGAGCAGAGAATATATTAGAAGAGGCTATAAGAAACATACCGACTATTAGTGAAGATGCTGTGCCTAAAGATCCTGGAAAATAACATATCAGAAGTAGCTATCACAAAAATTAATTCACTCCTCACTCAATAGAAATGTGTATTTACTTGAATAAATAATTAATACGATTTGTACTTACTGACCTGTATAAATTCTTCCAATGCCTCGTAAATAGCATCTAACACTGCAGGTAGAAACTGGGATATCGAGGATTTTGGAACCCGAAAGTTACTCTCCAAACTGCGAAAGCAGTCACCAGTAGCTAGATAACGCAAAACTATCTCAAGCTTAACCCTTGCTGGTAGCGCTTCCCTCATAAGAGTATCTGCCTTCTGTATTTTTGGTGCAACTCTTTTGAGAAGAAATTCAAATTGTGTGCTGTTTAATCGTAAATGATTTTTATAGGTATCCTGATCTTCTATGTTTACTTCACAAAGGAAATTATTTGATGCACCCTGTTGATTACGCCGTAAAATCCAATTGCGGGTCCAAATCTTTCTTTTGCTTTTTTTTCTTGGTTTTTGTTGCCCTTCTATTTCCGAAATAAGCATATCTGCCACTACTTCTATGCCTTGTAGCAATAAATTAGTCGACATGATAACATTAACGAACTGAAATAAATGCTACTCGGAGGCTGCTTTAACTCGGAACGTGTAGACTACTATCTAAGTAGACTCCTATACGATTTAGCTCGTACCGCGCACTCGGACCGAGTGTACTCGTATCGTGAAAACCCCTCTTAAGTAAATAATGCACTCACGAATAGTAAGGTTGGCGCTCTAATTGACACTTAATTTCACTTTCCGGATATTATTGAGAAGTTTGATTTATTCTTACAAACTTTTCAGTATTACGTTGACATAGCATTCCCAGTAATAACCAAAACTGTAAAAACAAGAGCCAGAAAAAGATGGATTACAGAAGGTATCTTAATATCAAGAGATAAGCTTCACTATCTTCTGTATGATTTGTCTAAGACGGGAAATGTAAGTATTTCTTATAGATTTCTATTAAATAATATAAAATGGTATATGCCACAGTTTTAAGGGCAGCTAAGCGACTACATTACAACAAAACGATGTTAAATGCAAAAAGTAAAACAAAAAGTGCTTGGAATGTAATAAATGGAAACAGAAACACACCTAAGTACGAAATCATCAACTTAAATATAGAAAATAAAGTAATAACTCAACGAAAAATTTATGTAGCATTTTAATAATATGCCAGACTCATATGAACGTAATGGTACAGGAAATAATGGAAATAATATAGATAGAAACAGTCTCTCTTTCTATTTTCAACCCACTGTAAGCAGTGACATAATCATATCAATAATAAATAACCTTAAAAGCTCCAAGTCTACTAGCGCAGATAAAATTAGTGCAAATATTTCAAAAATGCCATCTAGTTTCCTTAGCCAACCTCTAGCATTTTTAATTAATTGTTCCATTGAGGAGGGGACATTTCCAGATAAACTTGCCAAAATCAAGCCTCTGTTCAAGTCGGGTGATAACCACGCCAATTTCACTAATCAGTCCCTTTGCGAAAGTATTTGAGAAATATGTGCCCTTGAAAATTGTCATTTTTTTGATAGTTTCAAATTGTTCAGCAGAAGACAGTTTGGATTCAGAAAAGGTTTGTCAACCAAAAACGCTGTGCTTCATTTTCTTGATAACTGTATTTTAAATGGACAATGGCGTTAAGTGCGTAGATATATTTCTTGACTTGAGTAAAGCTTTTGACTTAGTTGTTCATGTAATACTTTTGGATAAGTTAGATAGATATGGAATCAGAGGTAAGCCATTTGACTGGTTCCACAGTTATCTAAGTAACAGAAAACATTATGTTGAAGTACTGACTGCACAGTCTGACCAGCACCTATATCATACAGATGTTCCACAGGGTTCCATACTTGGTCCCATCCTATACATAATATATGTCAATGACTTTCCCTCCAAATTCTCGGTAATGTATACTGATGATACCTCCTTACTTGTTAATGCCAAAAACCTGGAGTCAGTGGTAAGAAATGCAAGCTTAGCCGGTACAGAGCAAGGGTTCATTAATAACGCCCTAGTTTTAAACCACAAAAAAACAGTGTTTCTGATATTTAACTACTCTAATATGCACATGGATCGTAGTCTCTTTCTAAAATCAAGCGATAGATCCATGGAAAAAGCAGAAACTATAAAATTTTTAGGAATACACATATCACAAAGCTGCAAATGGAATACACATATAGAGAAAGTTACTCAAAGGTAAACCTCTTTGTTATTGCATGTACCAGCTGAGTTTTATTGTTGATAAGTGGATATTGTTAATGTTTTACCATGCACATATCCATTCTAATCTGCTGACTTATGGAATAGAAGTATGGGAAGTGTGCTCCAAGTTACAAAGGCTTTTTATATTACAAAAAAGAGCTATTAGAACTATTGCAAAGGTGGGAAGGCGCTTTAGTTGCAGGAAACTATTTACATCTTTGAAAATATTAACGTTGCCTTCAGTACACATATCAAATATATTGATTTACGACAAAACTCACCTGAACAATTTTAGATCTATAAATTCTGGAATTTATAATACCAGAAACAGAGAAGTGTCGGAGGTGCCGGCACATGGGTTGTCTAGAACGAGGAGAGTCCCAAATACATGGCAATAAAACTCTTTTAACAGACTACCCATTGACTTTAAATCACTACCGCTGACATTATTTAAATAAGAATCAGGCAAATTTTACTTGATAAAGCTTTCTACTCTATAGAAGAGTTTTTAATGTGTGATACTCTTTTTCAATTGTTTTAATGTATTGTTCAATTTTAATTTGTCAATTTGTTGTCATTTTAATTCGTTTTCATGTTTATACACTTCGTGTTTTTTATTTGATGTTTTGAATGTTATTTATGTATGTATGCAATTCTATTAATTCTGATATTCAATTGACTTATTCTATATCAATTTGTGATCCACAGGATAAATAAATTATTATTATTTTCGTTATATCACATAGCTCTACCTATGGCTATGGTACCAAATGGATACACCGAGTATATCTACACCGTACACCTAGGGTGCATCCAGGCTGAAAAGTGATCATAATACTTTACGTATTGTATGTGCGACACTCAATACTTACTGCTTTCTGCATGCTGATAAGATTGTGCTTCCCTGCTTCGGTGGTGGCTTTGGGAATTAGCCCTGTTGCTCCAATTACGATAGGTATGCTCTTCGTTTTGATATTTACTTTGATTGTTCTTTCTTTTTATACCTGCGTGTCCCACATTATGGTAAGTAACATCGGGAGTATCGCCTACAGGGTCCAGTTTATGATGGTACCATTTATCATCTACATTTATATTGTACTCTCTGCAGATATTCCAATGGAGTTGTGCTGCTACTGTATTGTGTCGATCTAAATAGACCTTCTTGGCAAGAACTGGGCAACCAGAAACCACATGATGGATAGTCTCATTGTATGTCCGGCAATGTCTGCATTTTGGGTCATTGCCGGATTTCATGATTTCAGCGATTGCTTGTTCCTGACAAGCCGTAACGAGCGCTTCTGTCTCAATTTTTGAATTAGCTGTGTAAGCCACTTCCAAGCTAAGCTGCTGTCGACGGTATGGTGTTTCACTTGACCATTTTCCCTCCATTTTGTTATTGTTCTTTTCTAATTTCGGTTTTCATATGATCTTTAATCAGTTTAACTTTCTTTGTTGTATTGACATCTTCAATTATTATGTCTTCTAGATCTTCTTGGATCCTGCTTCCAGATTTACATTGTTGTTGCCTATACACCATACTGAGAAACTTATCAGCTTTTTTCGGCTTTAAATAGCTTTTGATCCCTTTCAAAGTGATAGTGTAGCTGTTTTCTATATTCAGCATTCCTCTTCCTCCTTCTTTTCTGCTGACGTACAACCTATCGATATCAGCTCTTGGATGGAGAGCGCCATACATGGTTAAAAGTTTACGGGTTTGTCTATCGAGTTTTCTTATTTTAGCTAGCGTCCAATTTATAATACCGAAGCTGTACTGGATGACAGGTACCGCTAGGGAGGTAAGTGCGGAAGTTTTGTTTTTTGCACTTAATTCCGTCTTCAATATCTTCCTAATTCTTCGGTAATATTCTCTCGCTAACTTCACTTTCATAGTCTTGTACTGTATTTTGGCACGTTCATCGACACCTAAATATTTGTATACCTCATGCTATTCTAAAGATCTTATGGTTAAGTAGGAAGACATTCTGGCTCGTTGTCATTTTGCCTATAAGGAAAGTCGCCTTGGCACACTTGTCTAGACCGAACTCCATTTTAATGTTATCACTAAACTGCTTTACTAGCTGAAGTTGCCTGGCCAGTTGTCTATCATTCTTGGCTATTAATTTGAGATCGTCAAGTAAATGACTAATTTCATGTTTTTCATTTCTGCATTGTTAGCCTGTATTACTTTGATTCACGATGGAGATTAAAGGAAACAGCGTTATGCAGAATAGTAGCGCAGACCGAGAGTCTCGAAAAATGCCGCTTCCGATGTCGATGTTTTCTACTTTTATTGTGGTTTTATCGTTCGTCAAGTTGAGATCTGTCTTCCACATTTCCATGGTTTCACTCAGAAACGATATGAGTACATCTGATGTTCGGTATATGTTAAGGGTTTCTATTAGCCAACTGTGAGGCGTACTATCAAAAGCCAATTTGTAATCAATCCATGCTAGTGACATGCTTTTACGGTGTTCCTTACAGTCCTGTTGTATCATCTTGCTTGTTAGCAGATGATCTTTGCAGCCATGTGTATTTTTCGAGCATCCTTTTTGTAAACTTAAATTCAAAGTTTCACAACAATACGTGCAGTGTTCTCACTACAAGTCATTAGAAAAATGGAACTCAACCGAGAACATTTTCGCGCCATAATTTATTACCACTTTCCGAGACAATTATCGCAACAAGAATGCCTTGCTGAGTTACTATCTGTTTTAGGCAACGAAGCGCCACATCAGTCGACGATTTCCCGTTGGTTTGGAGAATTCAAACGTGGACGGGTG